GCCATCCCCTTACTCCAGCAGGCATGGAGCTGACCCTCCCAACCCACCTATCTTCCATCAGTTGCATCACGTTTTCCACTGAAACACACAAGGCTTTGGATGTGGGATATCAGCCACACGGGGCTCACTCTCAGCAGGAGGATGGTGAGCTGTCCCAGGGACAGCAAGTCCAGAATCTGCCGCTTCTGCAACTCCCCTGCCACTGCCCTATGGTCCCGGTGACCGATACGAAGTATTTCATTCCATTTTCACTGCAGCCTTGTCTGCTAGAGGACAATGATTATCATTAGGCCCATTAGGCCCATTGGACAGTAGAAGCAGCTCAAGTGCAGTAGTGCTAGGTCATCTGCCCCAAGGTCACACTGCTAGCAAATGGAAGGATGGGGAAATATTTAAGCCAAGGCCTGTTGACTCCAATGTGCCCACACCCTGTGATACCGAATCCCATACAGGGTCAGTCCCTGATCTACAATATTCTTGTTTTCTATTGTCCTCAAAGCACTCAGGCTGCAGAGTGACCACATCTCATATGCATAAACTGAGCTTTTGCATTTTCCAGTGCACATCCAGGGCAATCTACATGGCCCTTCCTCATCTGACAGAGATGAACACTCAAACTCACTCCCCCACCATCCCCTTCTTGGACACTGGAGACCAGGCGTGGATCCGGTCCCCCAGGGACTGACCATCTCAGGACCATTGACCTTTGGTCACCTCGGGTCCCAATCCCTGGGACCATGCCCTTGATTCCTCTTGCTGCCAATCATTTACAGACCAGCAGAAGCCACCCGTGGCTGGACTACAGGGACTGCCGGAGGACACTTTCCAAATTCCCTGTTACTGGCATGTCCCAGGATCCTCATATCATTAACCCAGTGATGGCAAATTACTACATCCAAGAGACAACCCTTATCTGCTTTCCACAGGAACTTTGAATAATGCCCAACACAGGCACACCTGTGCCACACACCCATCAGGTTTCCAATCATTGGTCTTCCCATTATGTGTCCCATAAACCACATTTAGAGGAAAGTGTATAGCCTCAAATCCATATATATATATATACACACACACACAGCCAATCACTGACCTACACAGTTTCTAAAACTGACTTAACGGAGAGGTCAAACACTGACCATTCCTGAAGGATGGTATGGTTCCCACTCCAGAAATCAACTTGGTGTCGTTCACAAAATCCCTGACCCTCTGGGCCTGATAATATGGCTCCACATCCCCACAGACATAGTGACCTAAGACAACACGCGCTTAATATTTCATAGCTTTGGTGGGTTAGGAATCTGAGCACAGCTTAGCTTGGTCCTGTTTCAGGTTCTTTCGTGTGGCTACAAATGAGGTGTAAGCCAGGCTTAGGGACTCAGCTAAAGGTTCAACTGGGGAAGGATCAGCTTCCAAGCTCATTTATGTGGTTCATTTGGGATGTTGGACTAAAAGCCTCAGTTTCTTACTGATGGTTGGAGGCCACCTTCAGTTCTGTGCTACACAGCACTTTCCAACATGTCAAGTTGCTTCAAAGCAGCCAACAAGGAAGAACACCTGTTAGCAAGACAAAAGCCACCATTTCCTGTAATCTCATCACAAAGTTGGTATGTTCTCGTATCTTCTAACTTGTTGGTTAGAAGCAAGTTACTTAAATGAAGGGGATTACACGGGTCATGAATCTCAGGAAGCATGAATCATTGGAGGCCACCTTGGAAGCTACTTCCCATAGACCATGAAGAAATAAGGACCCCAATACAGAGATCCTATACACCTTCCCAAAATACCATTCCTTAATGCAAAAGAATGACAGTTTTAGACATGAATATTTAAGAGTACTCCACAGACTTATTTTATTTGAGGAAAACACTAAAGGAAGTATTCTAAATAAATGAATACTAAATCAAGAGATAGATCTCAAAATAGGAGAACGAAAAAATGGTTAGCGATGACATTTGTAAAATACACACCCTTGGGTATACATTCATATAGCTATAGTTAAATTATGATAATATGGCTGGGGATTTTGAATTAAAGTGCATAAACAATGAATTCTGGAACACTGAAAATAAAGAAAGAAAATAAAATTTAAAAAATAAAATAAAATGTTAAGTAAGTTTTCTTGAAGCAGAATTGACTTAGCTTCAGAAAAATATGGTTTTCAAATAAGCAACTTAAATTTCTGTAGAAAAATCCAGAAGCGATATTCTTCATCTTGCTGAGACAAACATGGAGGATAGAGCAATTTCCTTTACAAAGAAAGGTTTAATTATATTCTGATCATTTAACAGAGAAAACAAATTAAGTCATGTCTGTTAGAAGTAAAAATGTATATAATGAACAATTAGTAAGAAAAAAAATTTCCAAACTAATGAGGTAAGGGGGAGGGACAAAAATGAACCGAAACTTCATTGAGCTATTAGGAAGAAGAAAAGGATAAAAGTTGTATTTAGGAAATAGTAAAATCAATAAAAAGCATAATACAAAAAAGATAAAATTATCATAATTATATAAATTTAAATGGACTGAATCTCAAGACACAAATGTAGGATTAGGGCAAAAAACATATACAGTTAGAAGAAGCTTATCTTAAAGATAAAAACACAAAATAAAGATTTAGGCAAAGATACACAAGGTGAGTGGCAACAAAGAAAAGCATCAGTGGTGATGTACTTACCAAAATAAACTCAAAGTCAAAAACACTCAAACAAGGAAACAAACCAAAGAGGAAACAGACAAACAAAAAAGACAAAACAGGGAACATACATAATGTCTTTGTGCAAAATGCCCCAAGATAGACACTTTAGGATGCCCCGCTCCCACCCCCCCCAAAAAAAACCAAACCCACAGAACCACAAGGAGAAAGTTATTTAAAAATATGATTGCATTTATCCTATCTTTTTTGTTTTTATTTTTTATTATGTTCAATTAGCCAACATACAATACTTCACTAGTTTTTGATGTTGTGTTCAACAATTCATTAGTTGCGTGTATTCTATATTTTTTGTAATGTAGTGAGTAATGGTTACCATTTCAGATTCTGATCATAGTAAAATCCTAATTACAAAAAAAGGAAGAAGAAAATAATCAAACCAGTTAGAAACTAAGAAACTCTCCTCTATGACTAGGATCAAAGTGAGAAATCAATTCCGAAATCGCACCTTTCATACCAGAGTTTAGAGGAAACCACATTTAGAGGAAAGTGTATAGCCTTAAATCCATACACACACACACAAACACACACACACACACACACACACACACACACACACACACACATAAAGACTGGGAAAAAAACAACTGAGTTAAGAATTTGGCTCAAGAGATCAGAAAAAGAACAGAAAAATTCAGTCAATATGTGAAAATGAAACACCAAACACGAAATCAAGAAGTAGCAATTAATTAAAATGAAAGTTGAAATAAACAAGATAAATATAAAGTTAAGCAATATAAGTAAATTAAAAAGCTAGTCCCTTCAAAGAATTAATTATATGGATTAGTCCTGGAAAATCTGATCAAATTAAAAGAAATACAATATTATTAATAAAAAAAAAAAGATATCAGGGCGCCTGGGTGGCTCAGTGGGTTAAAGCCTCTGCCTTCAGCTCAGGTCATGATCCCAGGGTCCTGGGATCGAGCCCCACATCGGGCTCTCTGCTCAGCAGGGAGCCTGCTTCCTCCTCTCTCTCTGCCTGCCTCTCTGCCTACTTGTGATCTCTCTCTGTCAAATAAATAAATAAAATCTTAAAAAAAAAAGACATCGCATCAGGTAGGAGGCAGTATCACCTAAGTATGGTGGAATAGGAGACGTAAGCCTAGATCAGCATACCTAACCATTTAGGTAAAATGTGTGAGTCCCTGGGAAAAAAGTAATTATGAAAATTCATGGAAAAATCCTCAAGGGACCAGGGAGTAGAGAAAAAATAGAAGTGTTCAAGTCTCTTGTTTCAAACATACCAGTCGTCACAAGCAGCATTACCAGACACACCTCCACTGACACAGGAGGGCTGGCTGGGACTGCCAAAAAGCAGGTATGGCAGAGGTCCCGGGCTGCTTCTGGCAACCCTATAGGTGTGAAATGTTCATGACCCCATGAGGCTTCAACGCACAGAGCGGGCTGGAAAGGACAGACCCAGAGCAGTGTGGTAGGGGGCGGGGGGAGGAGAAGATGGGCGTGGGTGGGGGTGGGAGATGGACAGAACGGGACTGGACTGGCAGGGACCAAGGCTGACAGAAAGAACTGGGACTTCATGGGATGGCAGGGGGTGGAACAAGATGGGCAGGGGCAGGGATGTGACTCAGTGTCCCACAGTGGAATTATCAGAGAGGACTATCCCACACTTGTCCACCATCTCCCATCCTAGTTTTCTAACACCTCTGGCCCAGGGAATGGAAAAAATGGGACAGGAGTTGATGAATTGGCTGTGCACTAATCAGGTGCCAACGACATATCAGACGGCCTGGGAAGAGGGACTGCAGGGAACAAGGATCGCTGGCCCCTCCTCTGTAAGGTCATGGCTCCCCTGACAGAAGGCGGCTCACCAAGTCCCATGTGGCCATCACTTCATAGCCTCTTCTGCATATGCCCAGGAGCCACCCCCCCCAGTACAGTTACACTATTACCCACCACCATCAGAGGTTTGAAATTGGGTCTGTGGCCAGACGGGTGTGGGGGGATATTAACAGTCCTTGTTCTTACAAAGTTTGTTAATGAAACTCTGGAAGGTGGGGGATGCGGGCAGGGCAGATCTCCTGAGTCTGCCAAGGTTCAGGGAAGAAAGAGACAGGCGGTTGGAGGAATGGATGGAAACAAGGGAATTCTGAGGCCCCCTTCCCATGGAGGAGTAAACAGATGCAGGAGACCGAATGGTGAAGAGAGAAGCACAGAGAAGCTCGAAGATGATCTAAGAAAAAAAGGGGTGATAGGAACAAGGATTGGAAGAATTCATTGAATGTCTCCCTTTGCAGAGGATGTTGGGTACAGGATCTCAGTCGAGCAGGGCTCAGCTGTCTACTTTGGAGCGCAGGTCAGTGGTGAGTGGGTCATGCTGGATTGTCTGGTGAAGCATCAGAGCCAGCAGCCCTGCCCGGTTCGTCATAGCTGTGCGCACCTTGTGCTCCTGTTCAACTAGCTCTTCCAGCTTGTGCAACTGTGGGAGGTGAGCATGAGAGGGGGACTCCGGGATACGATCCCACCCTTCAGCCCCGGTCAGCACTGCAGCCTACCGCACGAATGCGCTCTAGGTCCACCTCGGCGCGCCGCAGCTTCTCCCAGCAGTAGTGGAGGTTGCACAAGCGTTTGGGGAGGCAACAGAAATTACCAGTGACCTCAAAGACATTGTGCACTAGTGGGCAACCGCACACCTCATCATCGGATATCTGTGAGGAAGAATGAAGGATGACGTGGTATGGAGGAGTGTAGAAATCCGGAGTGCTCTGGCAGGCACTGTGAGAGGAACGGAGAAGGGAGGGCAGTCTGGCAGGAAGAAGAAAAATGAGAAGTGACCTGACAGTGGCGGGGTGGTCGGGTGGAGAAGTTCTGGAATCAGGTAGAGAAGAGGAGGTAAAAGGGGAATGACCATGCATGGAGGATGAAGGAAGAAGTTAAACAAGCAGAAATGGAGGCATGGAGGTGATCGGGCAGGAAAGACAGAAGAACAGGAAGAGATCAGACAGGAAAGGAAGGACGGAGGGGAGGTCTGACAGCAGGAGGTGAAAGAGGGCTGGTAACGCATGGAAGAAATGAGGCATGAGACAGGGAAGGTGGGAAGAATGGAGGCTAGGGAAACAGGGAGGAAGAAAGGATTTAGGAGATAACAAGCAGGGAGAAGATGACTGTGAGGCGGGCAGAACAAAAATGAAGGCAAGTCTGAAAGTAAGGAAGAGAGGGAAGTCATGCGGGGAGGGAGGGAGTAATGTGGGGCAGTCGGGCAAGGGGTGGGAAAGGAATGTATGATGGGCAAGCAAGTGGAAGAGAGGAAGGGGGAATGCTTATGCAGCGAGGAGCTGAGGAAAGGGAGATGGTCAGGCAGGGAGGGAGAGGGAAACGGAAGGGGTTAAGTCAGGCAGAGAGGAAGCAGGAATGGAAGGTAGTCAGCCAGTAAGGAGGGGGAAGGTGGGGTGGTCAGGAAGGGAGAAGGGGACACATGAGGGTCTGTCAGAAGTTATGAAGGCAGTCAGGCAGAGGGAAGAAAGAAAGAGGAGGCTGTCAAGCAGAGAGGAAGAGAAGAATATGGTGGTCGGGCTGGGAGCAGGGGACGGGTGAAGAAGGATGGTGAGGTAAGGAAGAAAGAGTCACCTTGTTATCTCTTGAGTGCTCAGGGCACAGCACCTGGAGCCTTTTACAGTACCTCTTACTCTTTGGGTTGTAAACATCACAGAAGAGCCTTGTGGCCCTGAGGGAGGTTGAAAGTGAAGTGCTAAGGGTCAGAAAAGGGGGTCCCACTCTGAACCCCTGTCCATGCTTTGGCCCTAAACCCCCCATACCCTGCCCCTAATCCACCCACCTCTGCCTCTGAGCCCACTCTGCTCCTGACCCTGTCCACATCATGCCTTTCACCTTGACTAACACCCACACTCACCCTTCAATGCAAGTGGGATACATGGACCCGAAGGACATCTTGCACTCATACTGGGAAGAAAAGGGTACAAATGGAAGGAACTGTGCATGCACACAGCGTGCCCTCCCATGACAAAGCCCCAAATAACACATCTGTCCCTGTGGCTTCTATGCGCCTGCCTGCCCAGACGATGTCACCCCTCACCATTGGCTGCTGCTCCAATCTTGGCCCTCCTACTAAGGATGGAAGAGAAGCACAAACGGGTAGAACCATGGGTGTGTGTTGCCTTCCTTTCTACAACAGACACCCAGGCACCAAACCTACCCTCCTTCCCACGGATTCCACCCAGCCAAAAACACCTTTGTCCCATCTGCCCCCAGCCAATCCCCCAACCTTGGCAAAACAGCGTTCCATGTGGCGCAGGGCAACATGCATGCTGACTGACTCCCCGCAGGAGACACAGAAGATCTGCAGGTTTACGCTGTTCCTGCTACTTTTGTCGGTCTGCACAGGACAGTGGAAGGGCCAGTGAAGCAGTACAGTGGGGAGGGGTAGGGCAAGATTTCAAATACCTTTCTGCTGCATTCTACTCATTCCCATTCACCTCCTCATCGCTGCACACAGCCTGCTGCTTGCCGCGCAGAATTATGGCCTCAAGTTCATGGAAATGGCACTCTATGTCCTTCAGGCGAGTGTGAATGTCCTGCTGCTCACGGTGGATGCGCTCCAGCATTTTTTTGCCTTGCTCCTCAGCAATGCAGGGACTCTTCTGCCACTGCTGGATGCGCTGGGGCAGAATCCTATAGATGCGGCTGGAAAGGGAGACAGCAAGAAATGGAATGGGCCATCACGAGAAGAGACAGATGGGTGCCTGAATGGTGAGCGTATAGAATAATGAACAGTAGACGAATAAATGCTGGGGAATGGGGGATTGAATGGGGGATGGATAGATGGGTGAATGACCACAAGGGTGGATGAATGGGTTGCTGGATAGAATGTGTATGGGGGTGTTCGGTGGGTGGCTGGCTGTAAGGTGGATGGATGGGTGGGTGAGTGGCTCAGTGATGGGAGGACACATGGGTAGAGGAATCAATAGACTTTCGGATGGCATAGATTATGCCCTATTTACATGCTGCTGCTTAACTTCACTCACTCAGCTGCTAGTTTCATGCCACAGTCGTCCGAGCAGTACTTGGAGCCTGGCCGGGTGGGGTACACACAGCCAGGTCCCAGGCACTGTCGCAGCAAGCCTAGCTCCTTGGCATCTGTCTTCTCTGTGTGTTTCCACTTTTCCGTGAGCTTTTGCTTCTGCTTCTGCTTCTGCTTCTCTTTCTGTGGGACAAGAGCAGTCAAGGCAGGGAGAGGAGAGTTGATGTCAGCTTCCTAACCTTGTACCCCTGCCCTGTGTTCTATTCCTGACCCCTGTCTTCCTGCACCCCCCATTCCACCATTTCTGTCACCTTCCACTCCACCTTTATCTTCAAATTCTCCATTTTCTTCACATTCACTGCTGGTTTCTGCAGCGCACACTCCAGGAATGGGAACTCCTCAGTGTCACTCATCCAGGGCTGTAAGCCAGGAAAATGCCGGCAGGTCTTCCCAAACTGTTTTTTAAATGATGTTGGGGACACTCCCTGCCTTTGTTCTCCTCATTGCTCACCCTCTCTGCCTTTGCTGTCCACTTCTTTCCACCCAGGGTCCCTGACATACTGTCATCAGGTTTTGTCAAAATTCCCCTATGCAAAAGCCCCGGCATAGTTTTCAGTCCTGAGGCAGGTCCTTTTCAGACAACATCTGGGGTGTGTCTATTAGCTGAGAGGCTCCCTTCACTGCCAATGGCACTGCCAGCATCTGGGATGGCCTGGACTTCGGCAGTCCACAGTAGACAGCTATGACTGAATGGGCAGTGGCCAGTGTGACCATGGCAAGTTCTCTGAGGGTATGACGGGCAAGAGCTGAAGGGAAAACCCTTGCACCAGCTCCACTCCCCCATCCTCCCTGTGTCCTGGACTTACCAGACACCAGGGGTTACAAGCAGGGCACCTGTGATGGTGGCAGGAGGGCTCTGGTTTGGCGCTAAATGAGTGGGAACAGACTTAACCTGTTCTAACACTCTTAGTCCCACCTTCTGACTAACATGGCCAGGTCCCACTGCACCTGCCTGGGACTGACTGGCACCACTTGGCCCTGCTTGCCCACTTTATCCAGAAACACTTGGGTGGCCCATCTCAACCCACTTGGGCCACCTAAATGCATAAGACCCTGCCTATCTGCTCAAAAAAGCTAGCCTACGCTCCCTTACACTTGGTCAGCTCAGCCTGCCCCACCCTTCGGGACACACTTGCTACGTGACTCATCCTGCATCATGGACCCAAACAAACCAACTCTGCCACCCAAACATGCACGACCCCACCCCCTCAGAATGCTCTGCCCACCCGTCTGCCCCCCCTTGTCCACCTAGTCTCTCTAGGAAGTGGCTGCCAGACTTCTGCCTTGGACACGTTCTGCTTCACCTTACACTCCCAGTGTGGTGGGTCCCATATACTGCACCAAGGCATACCTAGCCCTGCCCTGTGCAAGGCCCTGTCCTCTTCCCAGACTCTCTCAGCCTTGTACACTTCTCTCCACTTCCGGTACATATCCAGTTCTGCTTTAGCTCCCATGTGCTAAGCCATGCCAAGCCCTACCCCCCACTCCCCACATGCACATGCTAGGTCATGCCCTGTCTGCCCTGACTCATCTAGAATAATTTGATGAGAACTATTCTGAAAAGTACTCCTGCCTGTACCCAGTGACACCAAGCAAAATATATAAATATACAAAATTTTTTAAAATGTTTGTGTATATATATACTCACACACAAACAAATCACTCCCAGTGATTAAAAGAGCAAGTACACACACTGAAAGAATATACACTTTTGATTAAGACAATTACCAGTTGGAGAACTCACACTATTTTTGAGCTAGAGATGCAATATTAATTTAAAAAAAACTGACCCTGGAATTAGCCTTAAAGGAAATCTAAACACATTCCAATAAATAAGTATCACATAAGGCACAGATAAATTGCATTTAGATATTAATAAAAGGCTTAACTTTTTAAAACTGAAAACGCACTTCTAAGTAACTCTTGCTAAAAAGAAAAATAACTAAAAATAGAAAAACTCACAACCTAATAAGACCAAGAACAATACATACCCAGCTGTGGAATTTTGAGATGCAGATATGAGAAAAGAAAGACAGAAATTAGTGATCTAAGTATTCAATTCAGATTAGCGCAAGTCACTATCCCAACTCCAAAGACCCCCTTTAGTAACCCCCCAAATTGTTCCGATGACCCCACTCATTCCTCCAGTCACTGAACCTACAGTACCTCGTCAAAGTTCTTCAAACTACCTCAGCGCCAAGGAGGCGCTAAACTGTGAGGGACCTCGTGGCAGGTGCAGAGGAAATGTCCCGTAGAGCTACTTCCGGCTCCGGTATCAACCTTAACCCCGCCCCCGCCCCTCTCGTGCGCTTGCTCAAGATCGCAGCAGAACTGCTATACTGCCCAAAGATGGAAGAGCATGGTTTCAGAGAAACCACCTCTGTACGTGTGTCATTCTGCAGAACGTCACCACAGGCCTACAGGGATACACTTATGTCTTCTGACGTCAGCACCCAGTTTCCTATATTGGAGTGATTGATCATTGCCTTATTGTATATGGCAGGGAAATGGATCTCCTTATCATTTCCAATTATTTCAATAATTTCACATTATTACTATTTTATTATCTTCTATTATTTTAATCATGTGGTAAGCAATGAGGAAAACAAACAAAAACACATAAATAAATAGTCAAGAGAGTAGAAAAAGATTTATAGAAAATCCAGGAAATAAAGAAAGCAAAATGTATGAAGTTAGGAATAAATTCACATTTGAAGTTCATATTTTATTTCATAATCAGTAATAGAAAATTATTAATCAGATAAATTCTCCAGTTAAGGTCAGAGATTGCCATTTTGGATGAAAAATAACAAATCTAGTTATATGCTGTTTATGCCAAACTTAGCAAATCATTAGGATACAGAAACATTTGAGATAAAGGGATGGAAGAAAATTTTCCAGGTGCATGTTAATTAAAATAAAGCAAGGTCAGCTATTTTAATATCAGACTAAAGAGACTAAGACAAAAAGTTATTAATTAGGATTGAAAAGGTCATTCTCTGATGACATAATTCACAGTGAATATGTAAAAAATTTCAATCTTATACACAATTAAATGGTATAAAATAAATATGCAGAAAAATATATTAGAACAAAAGGTAAAATCAAATAATATTCCCACTGTAGAGTATAACCCTGCTGCTCTTTTAATTCCCACTCACTCTTCAAGACTTAGCTTTGGCATCACCGTCTGGGAAGATTCTGCTTCCTTTTCACCTGGATGATCAGCCTCTCTTCTGAATGAACTTTTGGACATAATTCTAATAGCAAGGCTGTTCCTTTTATTTTAATCTTGAAATTGAGGAGGAAATGGGGGCATTGCCTGAACCCTTCACGCCTGTTTTGTGTCTGTCTTCCTCACTAGAAATGAAGGTAGGAACAAAGTTGGTCTTGGTCAATGCTGGTTGCCTGGTGCCCGGTATACTGCCTGACACACAGGGATATCCAGGAACCATCAATGATCAAAGGAATGTATCAGGGCCCTGCCCCTCAAGTGTTGTTGCAAAATGGCAATTTACTGTAATTTATCTGGCTCCATATTATTCCTTGAAGATAAAAGCAAAGGTATGCCAGAATTTACATTAGAGTTACATTTAACAAATCATTGACAAGAAAAGCAGTATTCAAAAAATGTTTAAGATCTTTCTGTTAAGAAGCTGGTTTTCCCTGATTCAAGCCTGGTATCTAATGACAGTGTCCCCAGCTAAATCTTCACAGCTTTTATCAAAACCAGTTTAGGGGGTGGGGCAGGAGATAAGAAATCCAGGTTAAACTCAGGAGTCGTGTGTGAACTCTAAAGAAAGTATTATCTCGCTATGGTCTTGAAAGTTTATAAGCACTACTTGTGGGGTCCAAGCTAATGTTTTAACTTCTCTCTGAGTTATTTTTCACCACTGTGGCCCATTCAGTGAGTCTTGGGCAGCTTTTCCTCTCCTTCACCTCTGACTTCATGACTACTTCTCCAGTGTCTTGTGTCTCTTTACTGATGTTTTCTTTCATTCCCAAATCTATAGCACTAGTTCAGGCTTCTCATATTTTACATCATAATGAACTTCTACCTCTGAAATGTGACTGATTGATCCACTTTGCCTTCAGGATTGTCTTCCCAAGAGACCACAGATGAAGAAATATGTCACCATCCTCCTTGGGAATCTTCCTTGGATCCCCAGAATCAGAATCAGTTCTCCACTCTCCGACTCACCCCTCAAAATTCTCAAAGGTCCCCACTTTCCTGTGGCAGACAAGTCCTCTTCCCAGGCCCTCCAGGTGTCAAACACTCAGGGCATCCTGGACATTCACTCTCTTGTCAATCCAGCATTGGCTTCCACATATCAGGCCTTTCTTCAGGCCTGCCCTTCTTTTTTGCTAATTCCTACTCACCTTTCAAGACTCAGCTTTGGCACCACCATCTATGAAGTTCCCTCTACTTCTTTTCCAACTGGCTGGCCTGCTTCTCTTTTGAATGTACTTGTGGGCATACTTAGAATGGTGAGGGGTGTTCCTTTTACTTTAGTCTTGGAATTATAAAAGATAAGGGAATGTTTGCCTGTACCTCTCACATCTGTTCCATGTTTATCTGTTTTTGCCGGCCAGCATTCTGCTTGTCTTTCAAGGCTAAGCTCAGTTGTTTGCCCTCCAAGATGTCTTCTTCAAACCCCTTGTTCCTCCTTCTTCAGTTTTTCCACAGAAATTCCGTCATTCTGCTTTGTGTCATTGTGTGCATGGCAGGGTTCTCTCCTCCACTAGACAGTTAAGGCAAAGTTGAATGTGAATGCCCTGACTCCTAGCCCAGTGATCCACCACAGTTTCTAGTGATTCTTGACTTATGCTTTGGTCTCTTCTGACATCCCAGATACAGTAGATGCTAAGTGCCTTGTGAGCAAAAGAGTACCTCCTTAGATACAAACACCAGAATGGCCATCCAGATAAGATGGAGCAAAAGCATGAACCAGCCCAAGAGTAGATACTCTAAATTTGACTTTTCCTCTGCAGAATGCTTCTGTACTTATAATTTTGGTTTTTATCACATCTAATATATCAAATTTTCTTTTATAGATCATGCGTTGGGTATCATATCCAAAACTCTTTGCCTAACCCAAGATTGTAAGGATTTTCTCTGATATTTTCTTTCAGAAGTTTTATAATTATATATTCAGCCTATAGGTGTATGGTCTGTTTGATCTAATTTTTGTATAAGGTATGAGATGTAAGCTGAAGTTCATCTTGTTTTGGGGGGTTTTTTGGAGTTTTTTACATAGATATTTGATTCCTCCAGAATTATTTATTGAAAGACAACGCCTTCTCAATCAAAAAGTCTTTGCACTTCATTAAAAAATCAGTTGGCAAGAAGAAGATTCTGAGAAAATGGAGGAGTAGGAAACACCAGAAATTTGTCTCCCATCTAGACAACATTATGCTGGTATAATCTTCCTGGTGTAACCATTGAATTTTTTATATTTTTAATTGTTTTATTATGTTGTGTGAGTCATCATACAGTAC